ACTCATTCTTTATTTTCATTATTCATGTTAAAAATGCAGATTTCAAGATGAACTACTACAACAACATCCCACTCTGAGCAACATCCCACTCTGAGCAACATCCCACTCTGAGCGACACACCACTCTGGGCAACATTCAGTTGTGAGCAGGGTCCTATTCTGAGAGAAATTCCACACCGAACAAAGTCCCACTCTGAACAAAGTCCCACTCTGAACAAAGTCCCACTCATCAAAGTCTCACTCTAAGCAACATCTCGGCTGAGTTTGAGAGTGTGGAGAGCTTAGTCACCACCACCTTTGACTGCCACAAGGTAACCAATGAAAGGATATGCCAATCAACTCCACCATCTTGTTGCCCGTATATGGACTGGAATAGTGTACTGTTAGAACTCAGGTATGTTCGTATGAAGCTGGAATTTTCCAAACCCTATTCCTAGGAAGGATGAATTGACTCTTCTGACAAAAACCAGATGAAAAACTTATACACAAATGTAGAGTGACAATCATCGCAGATAGTATACATATGTTAGCAGGATAATGCTTGGGAGTGTCTGTAAAAATGCCAGTAATCTCACGCCACAGGACAGGGCTAAGATGGGCAACTCAGGCAGACCATCGCAATGGTCCTGCATGATGTAGAACAAAACGAATATGTGTTTAAAAGGGGTTTCGAAATAAGAAAGTGGTAGGGCTCCTCTGAAGGTCACACGATGGCACTGAGCCCAGGGAGAACGAAACCATAGGAGACCCTTTGAGACATGAAGAAGAAGGTAATGTGGAATATAAACTTGACCCTGCAGACAGCTTGGTCGCTGTCTCAAGCACCAGAAGGCCAACGATCCCTGAACGCTAAAAACCACAATGACCACATGATATCCACCATTCTCTATGCAGGTAGACCGCACACTTATCCAGTTGGTGCTTACTTCATTCACAGCATACGTCATAAGAAAACATTTCGATGTAAGACCGCAATAATCTCTACGCCAACACAAAACATCTTAAACATCTTTCATTCTTGTGGATCGTTGAAACTAATTAAAATTTTTGGCCATCTCTCATCTACCAAACATAATGAACTGACCACAGAACTCGTCATTCTTAAAGAGTGTGTCAGTGCCTGCTTGTTTCAATGGACTGGTCAAGTTATCTCAACGGGAGTTGTGTTTATATACACGTCAAACACGTTTCGGAGGACTTCATGCTGACCACCACATGGACAAATTCGGTGGGAAAACAGTGCGAGGGTTACCCTTATGTAAGTACCCCATTTTTAATTTCAGGGATCCTCAATCTAATTTTTGTTTCATGAAACATGAACCCCACCACACCAAACATATCCTCTTTTCAGGTATTTCCTTTGGTTGTTTTAAAATTGCAAGGATGACCTGGTTTCAGTTTCCTAATCTGGAACACATGTTTCATTAATTATTGAGAATTTCTGACATTTTGTTACTAACAAGGATGATGTATAACTAATCCTGACTCATTTCTTTACTGAATAAATTATTTACTTGTACCACAATGATCTCATGCCATAACGACCTATTCAAGGGCCACCCTACTACCAACCAGATACACATTATTTCCTACACTCTCATATCCACACCAACATCCCCCATCAGCATCCTCCAACAACACCCCCCACCAACATCGCCGACCAACATCCCTCATTTTACACCAACATTCCACACCAACATTCCTCACAAACATCCGCACCCACAGTTCACACCAACATTCTTCACCATCACCATCAACCATCACCATCAACCATCACCCCCCACCAACACCCCCCACCAACACCCCCACCAACACCCCCCACCAACACCCCCACCAACACCCCCA